TATTTATTCCCTTATTTGTTTCTTAATCTGTGTATTTATCTTTCGACCTGACAATTTTGCTATATTTCTCTTCATAATTCTGCTTATTTAGTCCTCCCAGCAGTGACTATGTAGAGATAAAACCACTCTCACATTCAGACATCCAACTGACATCAGCCGACACTATATGAAGTTTATGAAGTTAGCGACATAGAAGTAATGAATACAAAGATCAACCATGTGAGGCTGCTATTTATAAAATCTGATTGTTTAAGAGCAGTGCAAGGGATCCATTAAATTTTACCGAGCTGAACGAGGATTCTTGAGGATTGGCTCAACATCAAAAGTAACCACCGGGGAAAATTCCGGTCGACATCTGGCCGCAGCTACGAGACTCTGGGAAGGAATGGTAGATAGTATAGAAAAGCGTAAGCCTTGTAATACGGCCTACCGCAATTTCAAAATGGGATTTTCTGCTTGTAGATGCATAATATGGTTATAAAAAGCTGCTTTTTGGAGACATTGTAGCTATAAACCTTGGCTTGTAGGTGAGTGTGTACCAATAGCGCTTCCCTTCGTCCACATATAGTGGCGGACTCCATCTCAAAAGTACTGAATCGGCTGTTGCATGAGAAGCGATGAGATTCCTAGGGCTCCCTGGACAGTCTGAAAAACGGTAATGGGAAACGATTTGAACAAAAACTTATGCCAAAGTCTGAAAAGCTGTAATGGAAGCGATTTGAACAAAAACTTTTGCAAAAGTGATCTTCAAAGAATAAACTAACCTGGCAACATCTCCGGCGCGTTCTGCGCGAGGTGTTTGAGAGCTAAAAACAAGCAATATCATTGTATACCGATACGGATGCCCAACGGCTCTTCTTAGGTGAGAGGGGAGGATGTTAGATTCCACTATCGCGCATAAGCAACGGTGTGGAAACACATCACCTTGACCGGGGTCGTATTACGTACTTTAACCTCCTTTTTGAACCACAGAAGCGAGGTACACTTGGAATCCCTGAGATGAGGGGCGTGGCTGCGTACTTCAACTGAACGTGGCGGTGGCTATGCTTTTGGGAGATATTTTCATTCTGACACAGCTGTGGTCGTGTCTCTGCCCAACACAGAACAAGATGACAGTTGCGCGAAACAGATCTCCCACGAGAAACTCTTTCTATGCCATGTTCAAATGCCACGGATACTCCGTCTCAGGGATAAGGAGAGTATGTATACTAGCTAGATAATTTTTTGCAAAAACTAGAATGGAGCAACCAGAAAAAGTAAGCAGAAAACGAAACTCGTTGGGCAGATTCAGTTGTCCAGAAAGAAAATAAAGATGTACATACTCACATGTATAAAAGGTCAAAGAGGATCATAAGGAATGCATCAAAGAAGCCTCACTGAAGTCAAGGCCATGGCAAGGGATGCCACAGATAGAAAAAAATGAGAACAGCAGACCG